CTCTTTGAGTCCTATCACGCAGTTTATGTATTTAAAATTTAAATTTTTAAACATAGGTTTTAATATTATACGTTCATATTTTCGTCGCACTTTATGTACCTATATATACCAGCCATCGCCTGCAGTGATGGACAATATTATATAGGAATTACAATAAATTGGAAAAGAAATTATTTTGCATTTCCATATAGTTGTATGAAACGTAAAGGAATAAAGGTAGTAGAGTAAAAAAAGAGTATATAATATAACCATTATATTCATTGTTCCTACTTAATTTTAAAATGTAACCATAAAAATAGGATATGAATGCTTAATACATCACTCAGTACATTATATTTACAGATTGATTCACCAAACTCGCTCATCCCCTATTGTCCTTGAATAATTAATTTTTTTTCAAATTCTGATTTTTGGATTTTGTAACTTATAAACTAACGTAAATATAAGGTATACTTATAAAGACCACATTTGTAATAAACTTAGATTTTTTATATTATTTAAGGAGTATCCTGTGGAAAATGGGAATACAAACTTATATACAAACCCTTTGTACTGTTAATACTGAATTGTTAAGCATTTGTTTTTATATCAAAATGTTGATAATAATCGAAATTCGAAAGAATTGTGTCTAAGTTATTAAATGTGTGTTTAAGTTTGTATTGCAACTGGGCAAAACTTCTTAAATAGTATGGAAATCTAGGTATTTTAAAATATGTACCTATACTTCTTAAACTTTAAAAAATTTGATTCTGAATAAATTCATAAATTAAGAAAAAAGTAGGGGCGAGTAATGAGTATGTTTGGTGAATCACAAGTCACCTTGTAGCCTTGATACAGATTTTGATATAGTTTCTGTTTTTTCTCTTTATTGTTTACCTATGTATGAAGGTACTATGTGCCTATATAGACATCTGTGCTGTAGTATTAAATAAATATAATTTACCTACTGCGTAATGCGTTCATAACAAGTACGATTTTAATAATTTATATAGGTAACTAACGGAACCACTGACGATTAGTAAGTGATTTGTAATTGACATATTATTAATTTACCTAGATAGTTATTTATATTATGTAATAATTATTATTACGATAGTCATTCTTTAATTTATATAATGTGAAGAAGTATACCTTCATGTAGTTCAATTAGTGAGATTTGTTAATTTCATTTATTTAAATATAATTATTACGACACGATATAATAATATAATATTATTATAATACTGTAGTATAGTAGGTACCAACCTATTATTATTGTATAAGTATTGGTATAAAATATGTCATCATGTCGTTCATTTGTAATTTGTTGCATAAATTAATTAATAATGTTATATAGTATTGGATGTTATAACGGCCTGGACTTATCAATATACCTATATACTTAGTTTTACTTACATAATGCATACTCTGTTGGAAAAACCTAAATTGACTACAATAACATTATTATACTTAGGTAATATTTAGATAGACAAGAATTATATTTACACGTATTTTCGACTGGAAAAATGAAATTGAATTCGTAACGGCGATGAGTTTTTTTTTTTTAACTTTGTTTTTTCTTCAAATTTTCCTTCGCACTTTGAGCCCTGGTGGTGGCCTTGATGTGCACCGATTATTAAATTCTAAAAACGAAGTCACAAAAACCCATACGAATACAATGAGAGGTGGATTTTGAGGGAGGGCTCAAGGGTCCGGGCCCCAAGCCCCCACAAAATAAGAACCTTTTGGCAGTAAGTTTGGCAATCTTATATGGACCATGGGCACCCACGACCCTAAATCCGGCCCTGAATACAATGCTATAATAATAATATATAATAATATATGGATGTGATGATGGGGGAAAAAAGTTCAATAGGAACACAATATATTATTATATTATATTATACCGATCTTTGCCTGTCAATTTATAAGGATAAATCATAAGTCATAGCCAAGCCCATAATTGACTATCTAGGTATAGTTTGTATTTTACCAAGTTTAATCATTACCTACCGTATAGGTATAATATGTAGATAATATAAGATTATTACAGAATCGAATAAATTTTACCGGTAAAATATTAATCATTTAAATGTTCACATACATATTATAATAGCAAATAGAAATACAACAATTTAATACGAGTCAAGGTCGACAATATTGTGTTTATATAATAGACGCACGTTTATTATTATAGAGTTCGATAAACGTATAAATATCGAAAAGATTATGCTCTATAATCGAAACGAATCAATTTATGTACGCAAGGACGCAAGGTTATATGTTTAAAATAAATAAATTACAATATAAGAACTTAACGAAGAATGAGATACCTATTTATTATTATGATAATACTCTCCTGCGATTATTTAAATAAATTACTTCGATTTGCATGTAATCGCATAACTATTATATATATAATATATATATATTATAGCTGCCAACAGGTATAATAATATATATAGACTGTAGGTATATGGGTATATTTCAAACTTCAGGAAATTGAACTGAATTATCAATTATAAACTAAAATACGCGTATACGTTTCCTAAAGCGTTTCTACATATTATATTAGTATAGGTTCATAGAATACTGACGGTAATAATAATAATAACATAATATTATACCGAAACTCATCTATTGGTGTATCATACCTCCTAGGGGCTAGAATATTATCATATATTTATTCATGTGTATAAATAGTTATAACTATTATAACTTATAAGTATTTTAAAAGTGAATAGTGTACCTATAGCATATTATATTGTTTTTTAATATTTTTTAAAACATATTTTTGTATATTATAATTACACCTAGATATACGCCTACCTATATAAATTGACGAAAGACGAAAAAATACTAATAATATTATGTAATGTATAAATGTATAATATATATTCAAGTCCGGATTAAGGATCAATTGGCCCCCGGACACCTTACACTTTGTGGGCCCCCTTTCAACTTTAACTTCAAAATAACTGTATCATTATAATATTATATATTAACGACTTTATATCGTTGTATAATTTTTACTATACAAAAAATATACAGGGTGTATCATATGCCATTGTACGCGCGTTTTTTTTAACAACTATGAATCAATTGTTATGGAATTTCGTTAAAACAAAAAATGACGTTTCTTTATTTTTAACAGGCAATTTTTTTACATTTTTAAAAGTTTTAAACACTAATAATAAAATCGACTTTATTTTTTAAAATGGTAACCACTATATTTTTTATGGATTCTTATAAAACTTTTTTTCTGAATATTTTGACAGTCAAATATGATCAATTTTGGTTCTCTAGAGTCTAGGTTATTAACTAGGGACTACGGTCCTCTAAAGTTTAGTTTAATATGCATTAAGGGGACCTTTTTTTTTTTTGAGCATTTTAGATTACCGATTTAACTATATTTAAGTATACAAAAAGTGAGTTATAAGGAAAAAATATTTAGCTCTTGTAAATTAGGTATTTCAGTTAAAAGTATTAAGGGGCTGTTACAGTGACATTTGTTGTCTCCGTCTTACAAGTGCGTAACTTAGTAAATTTTACGCTCAGCAAAACACGTTTATTTCCCGTTAGTTTAAAAATTAGAGTGAATTGACCTATGACATAGGCTTTTTATTATATTTTAATTTTAAAGCGAGTTATGAGTATTTTAAGATGTACAAACAGTTTACAATTTTAAAATACACATAAATAGCTTTAAAATTAAAATATAATAAAAACTAAAAAGCCTATGTCATTGTCTAGATCTTGCCTTTAAATTGTATAAACATCAACAAAATTAACAAGAGTCTCTTGAATCTATAAAATATGCAAACACAAAATGGTTCTCTTTAATCGAGGGTAAGATAGATCGTGGGCATGTATCACAACCTATCAATTTGGACTTAAGGAAAATAATATGCAAATGCATATAAATCCCAGACCTACTTATGAATAAAAATATATATATTATTATAATTTATAATACGTACCTTAAAATTTAAACAGTAGGTGATGACCTAGGGGAGTAAATTAATGTAATTTTATAGATTGATAACAGTGTTTAAAATAATTTGTTTCAAGTATCATTTGCCCACTCTGCCACAACGGGCTGCGCACGCCTATGACACGTTTAACTGTTTAATTAAGTATATAAATATACCTATATGTATTGTAATTGTGATTTATTATAGTGTGTGGCCGGTACCTACTAAAACTACAATAATACTAATATACTATAGTATAGTATAGTAGAGTGTCACTATAAATTATAATAGTACTATTAGTATAATACTGTACTGCAGTGTCCTAGAAGTCCCGTATCACCCTTACTATCTCCGTGGAAAATTTATATATTACAAAACAATACTAATGTGTATATTAGTTATTATCTTAATAAAATAACTAATACATTAAATTACTTACTAATGTTTTGACAATTACAGAGTACAATACTTATATAAAACAAATAAGCAAATAACTTTTAACTTTCAAGCATACCTATAGTATATTCATACTTAAATATTATACAATTAGAGACATGTTATATAATGATAAGTGAACGTGTAAATATTAATTTGCAATACAGTTTTATTTCCAAATATTAATTAAACAAAAATAAAAATGCTGTATAGACTATAGACTATAGAAGGTGTTGAATAGGTCACTGTAAGGGATGTGTTAAATTTGAATAATGCCACGCAAAGTGATTGAAACACCTTCACTGGCAGCTGACGTCATATTTCAATGGAAAGAATAATGTTTTGTTATTAGTTCCATGACTGCGCTGTTCACTGCCATAATCGGTTAGTTGCTGTCATACCTAGTTATTTCTATCATGCGCAAAACTAACACGTAATGAATTTGAGGCGTCCTATCCATGTATTTATTATCTATGGTCATGAGTCTCATGACGACGAGCCACAAAAACAATTTCTTAGACACTCACGTCGAAATAAACCACTTCCGCGTAGATCAGCGTCCCGACCGGTCCCCATCCAATCGAATACGACCACAGATACATGCACACGAGTATGATGTGCACGTATTTGTGCCACTCGTTCGATTCGATTGGAGAACTGCATATGTCTGTGATTGGATGGATTGAGTGGTATACCATCAGCGTCGCCAGACACGTGCCCATACTGATGGCCGACGCAATTAACATGAATTTGCGGCCCAAAAACTCAACTAGCTCGACCGTGGTGAGACACAGCAGGACCTGCGGGAAACCCGGAGGACGCGTTATTGTTACCGACTAATTTTCTCTAATGAGAACCTTTCATATTTGGAGTGGGTTTATCGTTAACATCATTAACAAGTAACAACTGAACAACCGTATTTCCTTTTGGTTATTATTTATTAATAGCACAGTTACTATTATACAGCCGCATAGGCGCACATAGGGGGGTGCTTAGCACCCCCAAGCTTCAAACCAGCACCCTCAGTTTATTTCGGTATTTCACCAATCATTTATAAACTATCGTGGTTTATTGGTTCGCAATTTTTCTTTTTATTACAAATATTGATAACTGTTTACGATTTCACGATTAAAACAGTATTGTGTGAATGCATGGTTCAGTGTTTCAGTTTTTGTCAAAACATTAAACAGTATGTAGCAATCATATTATATCATATCATTATAGAAAATTATATTATCTTACTGGTTATTTATATTTCCATTTTCTATGCATGATAAAATTTTCTAAATATTTTGAGTTATTTTGAGGTTTTTATGGACATTTTTAGTTTCCATTTTTTTTAGTTTTTTTTTCTATAAGTATCAATAAAATTTTATTTGTTGGGGATAAAAGCTTAAAAATGTAATAGAAGGCTCCTAATATATTGTTTTCAAATTTTATGAAATATAAAAACAAAGTTACACAGTAAATTTTCTCATTTTTATAGTGTGAACATTTAGTTTCTTACTTTCTTAGCTTAGAGTACAGCCTGAAAGTTTTTTATACCCGTGCAAAACAGTTTTGCCTATGTTGTACCTACGTTTGTAATACGGAGACAACACATGTTGGTGTACCTAGCGTCTTCTGTACAATCATACAGACTATTTGATACATTGCACTTTAGATATTATTGAATACACTATACAAATTAAATCTAATGCAATGCAGAAATATTAGGATTTAGGGTGGTGTGGGGGGCAAAGCCCCCCACGGATCCGTGAATCATAAATTATTCCAGCACCCCCTAAGTTCACACCCAATGTGCGCCTATGTACAGCCGTTGCTCGCTTATTTCTGATAACTCAATATCGCAGGGTTTCCAAACCGGTGTTCCGCGAGGCCCATCTGGGTGTGCCGATAAATTTCACGACTATTAATAAACGTTTACGTAAAATTTCGGTAATTGGTTAAAATAGTTTTAACGTTTCTCTTATCGGGGATATTGTTCACTATTATTGTTTCGATATACATTTTACGTTACCAACTCTGTACCAATTCTGTCATGTACTCTTGTATTATTATTTATTTTGTATACAACAGCTGGGAACTTAACTCTTCGACTTATAAAATCAAAAATTATTCCATCATATTATTGCAGTACACATTATTAATAATCCCATTTTCCTATCGGCCCGTGTATACAATTATATTTGAATTACTATAAAAATTGTCAAATAACTAAATTTAAAAGTACAGATTACTATTAAGATATGTTCAAATTACTATAAACATTGTCAAATAAATAAATTTAAAAGTAAAGAGTACTATAAAATTATATTCAAATTACCATAAATATTGTTCAAATAATTAAATTGTATAGTAAAGAGTACTAAACATAACACTATAATTTTTGTCTGGCTTACTATAAAATCATAACTATATATTTTTAGTAAATCTGACTAACATTATAGCTATCCCTATAGCAATTGTATAATACAGTTAATTTTACTATTTTTATAGTGAAAATAACCGTTTTGTTTTTTCAGTATCGATATTCGTATATTTTTTCGTAATGGCACCGATGATGTGCACTGAAGAAAGAGCGGTTCCACAGAGATTTCCGCAGTTCTGTTATTCGATTTTAGGTAGGTGTATACTGTATAAACTAGGTTGGATAATTTAAACATCTGTCAACCCCGTTTGGAATTTCGTATAGTCCAATAGCATGTACATGAGTATAGATATTTTAGAGTGCTACTTATCTGACACCGTCAGATATACAGATACTTAAGGACGAAATCCCCGTTAATTAACCCTGACAAATGTGTTCGCAGCTGGTTTGAGCGGCGTGGTGATCGGCACTGCGTTTGCGTGGAGCTCGGCAGCAACGAGGTTGACACGGACGTTTGGAAACAACGATTACGCTCTGAACAGCGAATTGGACGACTCCGGTTGGTACCTGGATCCGGTCGCTTGCTATTTCCTGGGGACCACGTTCGGTGGCCTGATCCTGGGTCCGGTGACGAGGAATATCGGTTACCGATGGTCGGTAATTGGTTGCGACATGGTCGTGTTCGTCGGCTGGCTGCTGTTGTCGCAGGTGAACTTGGTGCCCGTCTGGGCCATCCGGCTCACGCACGGCCTCGGCACCGGAGGCCTGGGGTTTCTCATACCCACGTACATCGCACACATCGCCGACTTCCGCATCCGGGGTGAGAACTTTTGCCGAAATTACGCATCGGGTTTGGTGCGCTGGTCGTGAGATAATAGCTTGACGTTAAATTCCACAATAGTGTATAATATTATTAAGACATGTCCAGAAATGTAATTGGTACTAATAGAATACAGCATAATATATTATTATATTTTACACGCTGCCCGTAAGCACAATGTGTGTACAGGTAATGATTTATATTATGGAAAAACTTATAGCTTAGGGGATTTTTTAGACATCGCCTCTCCGCACCCGGCCCAAAACAAAATATAGGTACTATAGTCTGAATAAATGCGCCATTATATATAATAGGCGTCCCGGAATTCAACGTAGTTATACGTAGTGTGTTGTGTGTACATAATAATATTATACACAGTGTTATACACCGCAATTGTGTTGTGCGTGACCTAGGTCGGGTACTGATGTTCCACTACGCGTTCGTGTGTTTCGGCGTGTTCTACGCACACGCGTTCAGCGCCATCGTCACGAACGCCCAGCTGACAGGCGTGTGCATGGTGTGGCCGGCCCTGCACATCCTCATCTCGGTCTTCATGCCGGAGTCGCCATTGTACGTGTACAAATGCCACGGCGACTCCGAGCACGCGAAAACGGCTATGCGTCGAGTCAAAGGCGAAGACTACGATGTAGACGAAGACTACATGGCGATCGAGGTAGGGAAACGTTTTCAAAATTGGGACGAGACGATATCGATTATATTATATAAAGTCGTTTTTTTTTTTCCAAAAACCAGAGATACGTGTTCGAGTTCGAGTGCATGATCGGTGACAACAGAAGCCGCCTGACACGCAGGATCGTCGACATCGGCGCAAGACTCGTGGTGCTGCAGCAGACTTGCGGCGCGAGTGCGATGATGTTTCACGCCAAATCGGTGATCGGCGGATTCGGTTTGACCACAGAAATCGCTGACTACAGCGACGAACGCGTGTACGGCGACACGCAAAAAATCATTACGATAGTGTTCGCGGTCCAAGTGAGCGGTTTTGGAAAAAAAAAAATTACATATTTACATAAATTATATAGCTGGGTAGGAACGTAAAACTGTTATAAAAACATTAACGTGACGACAATCACGCCGGGGGTATAACTATTTTTTTTCTATACATTTATCAGCCGTCCCATGGGCCAACAAGTTAATTAAGTTGTGTTATTAAGTTTTGCCTGTTTTTGTGGGAATTGAATCCCTTTACTGCGCTATTCCATATCTATACTTGAATCACTGATCCAGAATATCTGTAAGATTAATAATGTCTTGAACTAAATTTCCTCGTATGAAAATAAAATACGATCTTTATTTAAAATATATTTTTTAAGTTACTTGTTTGACAGTATGTTTATTACTAAATCATTTCCGAAACTTGCTAGGTAAGTAGTGTGTCTTAATTGTCCCTTTCAATGCGTAGTAAAATTGACAAAAACGTGTTTTCAAATACATCTTGATTGACGATAAACCCACTCCAAATATGAAAGGTTCTCATTAGAGAAAATTAGTCGGTAACAATAACGAGTTCTCCGGGTTTCCCGCAGGTCCTGCTGTGTCTCACCACGGTCGAGCTAGTAGAGTTTTTGGGCCGCAAATTCATGTTAATTGCGTCGGCCATCAGTATGGGCACGTGTCTGGCGACGCTGATGGTATACCACTCAATCCATCCAATCACAGACATATGCAGTTCTCCAATCGAATCGAACGAGTGGCACAAATACGTGCACATCATACTCGTGTGCATGTATCTGTGGTCGTATTCAATTGGATGGGGACCGGTCGGGACGCTGATCTACGCGGAAGTGGTTTATTTCGACGTGAGTGTCTAAGAAATTGTTATCAAATAGCGTCGAGTTTTCGAATTGTTTAATAAATCAACGTAAAAAATAATGTAAGAATTCGGCTGGACTGGATGACAAACGAATACAGCGTCTATACATTTGCACTTTTTGTGGTTCGTCGTCATGAGACTCATGACTAAATAAACAGGCATGATCACTAGATTATTTCACGCATATTTTATACTTCCCCAGACTTGGAAGAAAAACTAATATCATAGAAAACTCATGAAAAAAATTGTATTCCCATTACAATTACATAGGGATTTTACTGTTTCTGCCAAGTCTGGGGAAAATAAGCAGTGATAGGAAAAATAGGATTTTTGGTGATCATGCCTGTTTATTTAGTCATGATGAGACTGACTCACAGTTATCGTCACCGTACAGTATTATTATAATGTAGACAATAATAATAACATCTTCAAGTACATAATTTGGTTGGTAAGGGGTGGTACAAAGCCCGACCAATTTTTAAGAGCGGTCCGATCGACGTGGCGTCTGTGAGATCGACCTATAACTATACTATAATATATAATAAATTACTTCGTGTATATCGAATTTTACTTAAACTTCATATGAATATTTTTTGTAATAATCGTTATGAACTGTTTATTTTATAATTTCAATGTTGCAGGTTAGATTTTTTTCCCAAATTAAAAAATAATAATACTAATCAAGCAGCAAAATATTAATTATTTCGTAGTTTAACAACATAAAATATAGCATATTATCATATTATATAATATCCAATGCCATTGTAAATGTGTTACACAGAAATGGTTTTCGAGTTTGATATACGCCGGTGGCCAGTTCACCTTGTTCCTGGTGGCGTATACATTTTTTGACTCCAACGCTCTGTTGAGCTTCAACAAGTACGTTATGTACACGTACATCGGGTCATGTGCCATCAGTGTCGCGTTCGTTCATTTCTGCTTGCCTGAGACTCGTGGCCTGCCCCTGGACCGGGTGCTGGATCCTGTTACGGAACAAACACCTACAAAGTAAAGTAATTTCAACAATAACAAAAATTACAAAAATGCCGAGTGAAAATGACATCGATGATACCTAACAGTCCATAAGATCGATGTCACATTCATCCGTCAAACCAAAGACAACCACCAATGAAGATAGCGCTCGGAACGGTCAACGCGTATATATACGGGTACATTTTACCGACCGAGCACAGAGCACAGACCACCGAGCATAGTGTAGTGTGTGAGTAGTATCACTTCAAGCGAACGTCACTCCGGCTCACCACCCTGAACCACATCTAATCAGTAAGTAGCCAAATACCTATTTCCCCCCCCCCATCCTCGACCACGAGGCACGGTCACCAATTCCCCCCCCCCAACTAGACCACGAGGCAAGTCACCTGAGGGGTGACCCGACCGGGTCGCGCACCGAAGCGCAGGTCAGCCCAACCGCTGAAAAATCCAGAAATGGCCCACAGAGGCGCTGGAAAAAACAACAATAAGCGCACAGCCACTCCTCCATCATACGACACCGTTAAGAAAGGTAGACCCCAAACCTACTCACCACCTCCTTTACGAATCAACACCGTCCAAAACGCCAAAACCAAAGCTACCCAAAACACTAACAAAAATCAAGCTGCAAACGCCATGCAGAAAACGTCCACACTAAGCTCTAAATCCTCCCCACACAAACAACAAAACAAAGCCACAACTGAAAATAATACAAATGATAAACAATCACTACCTACAACAAGCGAAGATGAAGATGAAGAAGACGACATCAATTCCACACACTCCACATCGTCGCAGCCACATAAAATCAATCCTAAAATTCCACCAATCATGCTCAAAGGCGCGGACTGGAGAAAAGTGGCGGGAAAACTGATGACAACAATTCCAGAAAACTCCTTGGAAGCAAAATTATTTGGCCCAGAGTCGATAAAAATACAGTGTCATGACATTGAGTTATTCAGAATAGTTCAAAAATATCTGACAACCACAGGTACTGCATTCCATACCTTTAGCTTACCTGAAGAAAAAACTTTAAAAATAGTTATAAAAGGTCTCCTTAGGGAAATATCTGAAACAGAGGTATTGAATGAACTAGTCCAACTAGGATTCACAGCAACAAATGTTAGACAATTTGGAAAAAACGACCAAAAACTGCCCATTCACATGGTAGTGTTAAAAAACTCTCCAGAAAATAAAGGTATTTTCAACTTGCGTTCAATGTTTTACATGGCGGTAAAAATAGAACGGTACAAATCAAATACTCCAGCACAGTGTTATAACTGCCAAAAATTCGGCCACTCAAGTGTTCACTGCGGATCGGCTCCCAGATGCGTTAAATGCGCTGGGAACCACAAAGCTAAAGACTGCACTAAACCTAGTGATGAAAAGCCAAAATGCACTAATTGCGAAGGTGAACACACTGCAAACTACAGGAAATGCCCAGCCTTCTCCCAAGAGACGGAAAAAAGGCGTCCAGTCAATCGTAATATAATTGGTCAATACACACTTTCCAACCTCCCATCATCAACTCAAACGACTCAGTTAAATGTAAATACTCCCAACCTCATTAATTCCAACATGAGCTATGCTGAGCGTACAAAACCTAGAGACAACGAAATCATTAAGCCTATCTTAGACCAACTAGAAAACCTAGTTGCAGTGATCTCCTCAGGCAACACCGAAGTTCAAACGATCATTTCCACTATAGTGGCACTACTTCCACTATTACTAAATCTACTCAACCAATTATGAATTACACCAGAATTATGTTCTGGAATTGTCAAGGTGTAAATCGGAAACGCCTTGAACTTCTCAATTTTGTCCAGGAAAAGAAAATTGACATAATTCTACTGAATGAAACTCATCTGTCAACAAACAAAGAATTCAAACTCCCAAATTTCATCACTTACACAACCAACAAAACTTTGGTCAGCGGACGTCCACCAGCGGGTGGTACTGCTATTTTGATAAACCGAAAATTCAGCCACATACAAATAAAAATCCACACAAATTCGATTACCAACACATCCATACAAATGAGACTAGGCCAATCTGATATTCGTATAATATCAGTATATAAAAGCCCGTCCACTCCTCTCCAAACAAAAGACATTGAAAACCTCCTCGACTCACATCAGAACGTAATAATAGCAGGGGACCTCAATGCAAAGCATAGATCGTGGAACAGCCTGAAAAACAACATGGCAGGAAAAACATTAAACAAATATATCAGCACCAGAACAGACACAACAGTAGCCGCCCCAACCTCGCCAACAAGATATCCAACAGACATCAGACACAGTCCAGATGTACTTGATATCGCTATTATGAAAACGGGAAATATTGGGTTCATACTGGAAAACCTCACTCACGAACTATCGTCCGATCACTCCCCAATACTTCTGGACATACCACTTAACTCAACTCACACTTTTCCGCCCAAACCTCTGTTCGTTACAAACTGGGAAACATTCAAGGAAGAAATGGGAAATTTATCCCTTCCCTTCGAAAACATCAGATCAAAACTACAGATTGATAACCTGATAGAACAACTGACTTCCACCATCTCCCAAAAACTTAAAACAAGCTCATCCACATTCACAGCACAGGACAGAAAAAACGATTTACCAACCTTCATCCAAAAACAAATTAAGAAAAAACGAACTTTAAGAGCGGTGTGGCAAAGGACCAGAGACCCAATTGTAAAAAGAGCCCTCAATAATCAAACGTCATTAGTTAGAGATCTACTACAAGCGCACAAAGACAAAGAATGGACAACGTTTCTGGGCTCCATAGACAATGATGCGCAAGGATGGTCAAAGCTTCACAAACTTAACAGAAGACTCCTTCGGAAACCGCCACCCATTCATCCTCTTGAAGACCAAGAAGGTCATCTTCATTTTGACCCTGAAGCTAAGGCCAACCTATTTGCTCAATCAATGGAAGATCAGTTCACTTCTAGCGATTCCCATTGCTGGGTCGACGATGTAGTTCGTGAATCCATAATCCAGCATGACGATTCCATCTACGAAAAATCAATATTTTTCTCTCCTGGAGAAGTACTCGAAGCAATCCGGAGACTTCCAAATAAAAGTTCTCCGGGTCTCGATAACATACCAAACCTTGCACTAAAACATGGTGGTAAAAAACTAGCCTTATTTCTCTGTCAAATATTCAACTCTTGCACTAGACTTGAATATTTTCCGGAGCAATGGAAAAAAGCAGCAATTATAATGTTGCCAAAACCAGGCAAAGACCCCAAAATTCCTACTAACCACAGACCGATCTCTCTACTAAATACAATGGGCAAAACACTAGAGAAACTGCTTCTAACAAGACTAAAAATATACATAATGCCGAAAATCCGACCAGAACAATTCGGGTTCAGATCGGAACACAGTACAACCGTCCAACTGATCAATCTTATTGATACAGTCACCAATAACCTTAATATAAGACATAAAACAGCAGCAACTTTTCTTGACATCCAAAAAGCCTTCGATAAAGTCTGGCACGAAGGACTTATCTACAAACTACTAGCAATGAATGTGCCCCATCAACTAGTCAACATCCTAAGATCGTTCCTCCAAGACCGAACATTCCAAATAAAAATTGGCGACACCTTATCAGCCTCCAGAAAAATAAATGCAGGCGTCCCTCAGGGGTCCTGCCTCTCACCACATTTATTTTCTGTATACATAAATGACATGCCAAAAGACAGCGAAGCAAACATTGCGCTATTCGCAGATGACACAGTGTTCTACGCTTCCGGAGCAACAAACAACGCAGCGATAAGAAGGGTACAAAAACAAATTAACCTTGCCGTTCCTTGGTTCAAGGAATGGAAAATAACTTTAAATCCCACGAAAACAAAGGCAATAATTTTTTCCAACCAATCTATGTACCAAGCACCATCATTAAATTTCGAGAACACACACTTAAGCTGGTCCAAAACAGTAAAATACCTTGGAGTGACCATCGACTCAAAACTTACCTTTACGGCTCACACAAAAACTGCGCTACATAAAGCATCCGGAGCAAGATATACTCTGTTTCCACTACTCAATGAGTTCAGCCCACTTCCTCTAAAAACCAAATTATATTTATATAACGCGTATATTAAACCAATATTACTTTATGCCACCCCCGCGTGGGCACAAAATATAACAAAAACAAGCTGGACTAAGCTGGAGGCGTTCCAGTCAAAAACACTGAGGATGATAACAGGTAGCGACTGGTTCATATCCAACCATGCAATAAGAATGTCATTGAACATGCCATCAATAGATGACACTATAAAAAGTGAGAGAACTAAAATAAAACAAAAAATAGGACACTCAAACTTCGAACACATTAACGAAATAGTAAACAGAAAAAGCCATAAAGAACGATTCAAGAGAAGACCACTGACCTAACCAATATTTAAAAAAAAAAAAAAAAAAAAAAACTCCACTAAACTCCAATAAACAATCTATAAAACACTTCATACTCTCTGGAAGAAGCGGAAAAGCTTGAAACAGAGTAGGTCTATATAAAGCAAAGCAAAACCGACCGAGCAACAGTACTCTATCAACCTTCAAAACATCAAGACTTCAGAAATCAACACACTCTGCCGTCTATTGAAGGATAAGAGGAGAACGACCGACACCGAAGAGGAACGCCGCGACCGCCACAACCGGACACCGCTAGTGAAGACTGACCCAAGCTCGACCGGTTCAGTCCAGACCATCGGACGGCGATATAACCAGCCGCCGACAACGCCGACGGATCAAGACAGTGGAGCGGGGCTGACCCGACACGAAGTAGCGATACGAACTCTTGGCTACCAACCATCGTCCAAGGAGCCGACGACTATCCTCAAGTCCACCAACCAACCCGGAGTGCGTCAAAGACGAGTCAAAGAACCACGCATCAGCCCGTATACTCGGTGGAAATTTAAACGGTCCTTTTTAGGGCCACCCACGACGCACAGTCAGTCCCCCCAAGCGCGCCTGCCTAGGCCACGCTTTCCGCCCGGGCCTAGTGATCAACGCCACTTTTTCGAGCGGGCTGATCATAGCCACCCGGGTCGTCCCGATAATGTATAATAAAAACATAATATACCCGGTTGTGTATCAGATAGTCACGGGAACGCGAGTAGTCAAAACCCTCTTATTTGTAACTATATTTTTATGTAAAATAAATTGAGTAATTACACAAGAACCCACTTGTATAAATTATTAAAGTGACGGAGCAACGGCCTCGGTAGCTCCGTTACAATCCTCAAAAGACGGAAAATAATTGTGTCGACACCGGAAATTAATGATTATATCGTTAAGTTGTTTAGTTTTATTACGTTGTACTGCGTGTTGTATACGCGTTGTTTACCATGTTTAACTGTATATTGTTATTATAATAAATTGTCGTTTTCTGTCAAAAAGTACACAACTTCGTCGTCTATACCATAACATAATATTGAGTGGGTTGTACAAGTGACAAATGTGTGGGGACGTATTGGTCTCGGTCAGTAATCATCATTCGCAATCTGTGCAACCGATTCAATTTTACAATTATTTGTTTTTATTTTTTTTGTGTTACATTTAAAAAAATTACTTTTAAATATTGTAATTTTAAAATGAAGAAAATTAAAGGTGGTGCTGAAAAGTGTCGTATAAGACGAGCTGCTGAGCTACTTATTGTTGGAAATGACAAAAATCAAAGAAAGCTTAACTTTTTTAAAATTAAGGTAAGTCGTTTGGTGATTTTTTAGACTATTAAATTCTAACTTGAGTACTTGACTAATTATTTAATTTTTTTTTTGTATATTTATAAACTCTATAAAACACTATATTAAACTAAAGTTTAAAATATTTTGCATTTACCTTAATATAGGTTTAATAAAATTATAAACTATAAAGCAATAGACAACTTTTAAATTTAAGATGTGGTATACAACACTTGTTCAAGATATTTAAATATATTTTAGGTATAACTAATAAACATGAAAATCCAAAAAGTATCTATATTTGGTGTTATAGCCATATCCTAAATTTATGTATTAGTGATGCATGCAAACATATTGATACTAAAAATCTATTTGGATTTTTAAATAGGTTATCAAACTTTTTTGGGGACTCGTACAAACGTATGAATGTGTGGATCGAGCAAAATAATACTATCAATGAAAGAGTCAGCTTGAAAAAACTTCAAAAAGTGGGTGAAAATAATACTAGATGGTGGTCTAGGGAAAAATCTTTATTTTGGGTTTTTGAAGGAAAACAATGTTTATTTTTGACTGTCATTAGTGCATTGAATTTTGTAATGCAGTCTCCAGATTTTGATTCAAAAACTTGTTCTGAGGCATCATCTTTGATTGAAAAACTGTGTAGTTTTAAATTAATACTGACTGCTCATATTTTTATGAACATTTTTCAAATAATTGGACCAACTTCAAGATATTTGCAGACTAAAAACATGGATCTGTTGACTGCATGGGATATGGTAGAAGTGACTAAATCAGAAATTACTAAATTGAAATTTGATATTATTTATAAGGAATCCCAAGAATTCATTAAACAAATGAATGAAAAACTGTGTACTTTAAATTTTCCTGATGAAATTAATATCAGCAATACATTTCCAACTTCAAGAATTAGCAAAAAAAAATCATTTTTCGACGAACAATGTTCAGACGAAGTTTTTTCTGTTCCTATTGATAAGTTTAGAGTTGGAACATATGTAGAAATAAAAGACCAAATAATAAGTACCTAGTT